TTAATTTTATTTCGTTTGATTAACGCGAAGTTCTTTAAATACCTCTGCCTTCTTTGAAATATCATGAATTGTTTCTGTAGGTTGAGCGCCTTTTTCAAGGAAATATAGAATAGCGGGAACATTTAAACAAGTTTGATTCTGATGATGGCGGATTTGGCCCTCCAATGATATTGTGATACATGGCACCTTAGAATAAATAGGTGACACCTGGAACCACTTTGGCAACAACTTGCCTTACCCAAGTTGATGGTGTCCCACCACAAATGCAGCCTAGCACAGGAGCGGCCCGGCACAAGCGTGGCCTAGCATAGGCGCGACCTGGCAGCCTTGCTCTGGTGCGACCTGGTAGCCTGGCACAGGCACGAGCTGGCAGCCTGGCACTGGCGTGACCTGGCGGCCTGGCCCTGGCGTGAGCTAGCGGCCTGGCACAGGCGTCGACCTAGCGACTTGCAAGACGTGCTCGCCAACAAATTCGGCCTACATATCCTAACACTCCCACGATCCTTGGAAGTTGGCCCACGTGCCCAACGATCCGGAGGGTGGTCAACGTGCATGGTGGTTACCTCCAGGAATCTCGAACCACTTAGATGACCTCGCAGAAATCTCGGATATGGTGTGTGAAGCCCACGCCAAACAATGCCTATATAAAGGCACCAACCCCAATGGCAAGGGGGCGAACAAGCAAGCAAGTAAGCAAGTTCTAGCTCTCAGACTTTGTGATTTTNCAACCCCAATGGCAAGGGGGCGAACAAGCAAGCAAGTAAGCAAGTTCTAGCTCTCAGACTTTGTGATTTTTAGCTCGCAGTCTACTATGAGAGTACTGACTTAAGCATCGGAGTAACCTCGCCGGGTTAGCCACCCCGGGTCCTCTAACATGTGGTTCCTTGCAGGTCTCAAAAGAGCAACGAAGCTCATCAATTCAGCTCGCCGCCAAGCATCTCGCCACCTGGTCAGCTCGGCACCTGGTCAGCCCGACACCTCACAGGCAGCTCGGCACCTGGTCAGCTCGGCACCTCATAGGCAGTTCGGCACTATAATCAACTTGCCAGCTAGCCTGCCCAACTCAACTCCGCTCGACAGCCAAAGTTCTCCACTTCGGCTTGAATCATCGACCACTTGGAAGCAGACCAAATGACGAGGTACTTAGCCAAAAAATCGATACTTCAATAAAAATCGATCCATCAATTGGCGCCATCTGTGGGAAACGCTACAAAAAGCTAAGTTCTCATCCTCTGAAAGGCTAAGTCCTCTTCTTCCAGAAAGCTAAGTTCTACTAAAAGCTCTCACTTTCTAGTTTCCATTTTATATGAACTCAAAGACTACGTAGGAAGTTGATGGCCAACATACTAAGCAGCTCTACCAACTTTATTTCAACTCGGATAAAGCCTCATCAGTCCGCTCCGCAAGGTACCCTCTACAAACATGAGCTCTTCGTGTCTTCCACGAGAGTAGGCAGTCAACAGACTGTATGGACGCCCCTGCTGGTCGAGCCTTCCAAGGCTCCCGTGCGAGCTGGTGACCTAAAGTAAGTAGTGTTGCCCCCGTAAGTCAAGCTCCTAGTAGCATCTTGTAGGAGTGGGTAACCGATGTCACTAACGAGGCTGATGCAGCGCAGCCCTGGCACAGGCGCATCCTGGTGGCCTGGCCCTGGCCCTGGCCCTGGCGCGACTTGGCCTTGGCACAGGCGTGAGCTGGCAGCCTGGCACAGGCGCGACCTGGCGGCCTGGCCCTGGCGCGGCCTAGCACAAGCGCGAGCTGGTCAGCTCGGCACCTGGTCAGCTCGGCACTATAATCAGCTCGCCACCTAGCCTGCCCAGCTCGATTCCGCTCGGCAGCCAAAGTTCTCCACTTCGGCCTGAATCATCGGCCACTTGGAAGCAGACCAAATGACGAGGTACTTAACCAAAAAATCGGTACATCAATAAAAATTGATCCATCAATTGGCGTTGTCTGTGGAAAATGCTACAAAAACTTAAGTTCTCATCCTCCGAAAGGCTAAGTCCTCTTCTTCCAGAAAGCGAAGTTCTACTAAAAGCTCTCACTTTCTAATTTCCATTTTATATGAAATCAAAGACTATGTAGGAATTTGATGGCCAATAGACTAAGCAGCTCTACCAACTTTATTTCAACTCGGATAAAGCATCATCAATCCTCTTCGCAAGGTACCCTCTACAAAGATGAGCTCTTCGTGGCTTCCACAGGAGTAGGTGGCCAACAGACTGTATGGACTCCCCTGCCGGTCGAGCCTTCCAAGGCTCCCGTGCAAGCTGGTGACCTAAAGTCAATAGTGCTGCCCCCGTAAGTTGAGCTCCTAGTAGCTTCTTGTAGGAGTGGGTAACCGACATAGGCTGATGCAGTGCAGCCTTGGCACAGGCGCGTCCTGGCGGCCTAGCCTTGGCCCTGGCCCTGGCGTGGCCTAGCCTTGGCACAGGCACGAGTTGGCAGCCTGGCACAGGCACGACCTAGCAACCTGGCACAGGCGCGACCTGGCGGCTTGGCCTTGGCGCGGCCTAGCACAGGCGCGAGTTGGCAGCCTGGCACTGGCGACCTGGTGACCTGGCCCTAGCGCGTCCTGGTCCTGGCACCGACCTGGCGGCCTGGCATGGGCGCCGACCTAGTGACCTGGCCCAGGTGCGAACTGACGAACTAATAAAAGACCTCA